GGAACCTGGCCATCACAGGAGGCGTGGCCCTGTCCATCATCACCGCCCCCGTCATCGCGGCTGTCAGCGTTGGTAAGACACTCGACAAGGCCCATTTCTGCTCTTCTACAGCAGCTGAAACCAGACAACATATGAAACGTTTCCGAGACGAAATCAAACGGCTGTGATTGTGTTTCTGTCCCTTCTCAGGCATCGGTGTGCCCATCATGTTGGTCTACGTGTACGGCGTGGTGCCCATCTCTCTGTGTCGGGGGGGAGGCTGCGGGGTCAGCAGAGGGAAGGGACGAGGTGTACGCATTGACTTCGATGAGGACGATGGTCCCATCACAGGTGAGGAGGCCAAACTCTTCCTGATAAAAACAAATTGTGGGGCTGAATGTCATTCACCAGATCTTATGATAATTAATATTCTCCATGTGATTCTGCAGTGGCTGATGCGTGGCGAGCCCTCAAGTCCCCGAGCCTCGGCGAGAGCAGTCTGAGCACCACCTCCCCCAGCGAGGGGCTCTCCGTGGCCCCTGGGACTCTGGGTGACACGCCCCACTTTAACACACTGGCAGGCGGTGCCTTGGGAGCACGCAGCAGCAAGTACAGCAGGTGAGACAAACGATGAAGTAACTGAGACGAGCAAGAGTAGTTCAATGGAAATGGGTAATATGGATCACTGAAATATAAAACAAGTATATGTACTGTATATACTACATGTATAAGGGCACATATCATGCTAATTTTCAAGTTCAAACTAACTTATTGTACAGAACATGATTTATATTCGCAGAACTGATAAATACAACTTCTCCAGTGCCAATGAGTCCTGGTTCTGTCCTGATCTGTGTGCGGTGGTTGATTCTTATTGATAGAACGGGGTTATTGATCAGTGTGAGTGTTTGCTGTCCTCCAGGCTGGAGGTGCAGGCGGGGGAGCTGGCTAAAGATTCCGCCCATAGGGAGACCGGCAGCCTGGGAGCAGGGAGCGACTGTGCCAGCACCCGTGGAATGGCCGGATCCATCATCTCGTCCTACACGCTGCCCGACAGGTGACACATTCCTCTTCTTCTGTGGTGTCTTTGATCTCTCTCTGCTCCCTGTTTTCTACTTTAAACTGAGAGGTTCCTTAGTTGTCATGCTGAGTATTCATCCGTTCGATTTGATTTTGATGTGATGCAGCAGATTCCTCATAGGAAACAAGAGCAAAATAAATCTTTCTTCCTTCTCTTGTTGTTATTCCTGTTTATGAAAGCAGTAAGAGCATTTAAACCATTTCCATTTTTGGTTGTCAGCCTGAAGAAGAGGCTGTTTTTTCTTCTCCAGGACACCATGTTTTATTTGTGTCTTTTCTGCTATCGTGCCTTCATCACAG